GATTGTGTTACGCTGTTAGTGAAGCAATGGCAATATTAAGTAAAACAGTGTCCTAAAAATTGCGGGTAAAGGACAAAACATCCAAATCTTCACTGCTGTATACCTCTATCACCACGGGAAACTTTTCCATGATTGACTCTTAAAACAAATGACAAACTAGTTCTGCCAAAATATAACCTAACACCTATAATACACCTGACTTCACAAACCAACAGAACTCCCTTTTTACAAGGCAGTTTTAAATGCAGTCTAACAAAATGGTAGAGACAACTGTATTAACATAATACCACCTCATAAGCAACACCACGTAAAAAACATTATTTTCCTTTCTCTTCCTCAACACATTCCCAGAAGTCATTTTGTGCTTCAATTTTCATTAATACATATAATTTAAAAAATAAAGATATTAACAAATATTAGAGTTGAGCCATGAAACAGTGGTCAGAAGTATAGACATATAAGAAGAGCAAACAATGCCAGGAATCACTCTTGGGTTTAAAAGAAAAAAAACAGTCAAATACTATGTGTTGAATATTGAGTCATTCTATGGGATGTTCAATCTTTGCCACTACGCAATACTCAGCCAGCAAAAGTAATAACTTATATGGAATCATTTCAAAGTATCAGAAAGCCACAACTATATTAGTAATCACTTACAACCAGTTTTTCCCCTCTGCACTCCCACTGTTTAGTCTCAAAAATGTTCTTGAATGAAGATACCACAAAACTGACATCACAATCACCTTTTTTTTTTAACCTATCTTCAAAAACGGGGACATAACAAATTTACTGACACTTTGAAGAGAGGCATAAAATCTGACATAATCAAGACACACACAGTAAGGCAGTAAGATCACATTTGAGGACTTCAAGCTCTGCCTACACTAAAAGGCATCCTAGGCCAATTCTGGCAACAGACCCTGAGGGCAGGGGATGCATTTAACATTGAGCTATTTTTGCCTTTAAATTCCACCTTCTCGATTTGCAGCAACGCATAGCCTGTAGCTTTCAATGTTACCAATAGCAGTGTAATGATTACAAAATAACCTACAGCAATATTTCTGTAGTATTTAAAAGGTTGTTGAAATCTGCATTTCAGAATAAGCCGTAACACTTAAGTGCTCCCTACCTCACATGAAAAGTCATTTGAATGTATACCAGCTGATAGCTGATTTTATACACTAACAATTCTAGATTATGAATCAGACTAATAATCAGAAAATAAATATCCTGTTACACTGATCTCTCCCAGTAACTCAAATCATCTAAGAGAACATTTACTGCACAGACTGTTAGTCTGTTAAAGGAAGTGTGCCTCATTATTTTGTATTGTTTACAAAGGCAATAAACTGAATTCCACACACTTGTAAGCAAGAACTTTAATAAAGGATATCAATTTAGAATATTCAGACATTTTTATGATGTCTGACTATTGCTAGTCTGACTTGCTAGTCAGACACCTCTGAATCACATAAAATTCTAATTCTGAATGCTGTCTGCTAATCTTCCAAAGCTCATCAAATCAACTAATGTTGATTTTCAATTAGGTGTAGCAGAAACACGTCTTATGACTGATTTAAAGATTCAGCAAAGATTTTTAAGGGTTTTTTTAAAAAGGACCATCATCCAAGACCAACTTAAATACATCTTACTCAAAATTGCAAAACTGGCTTCTTCGACTTAAGGAAGACTGAGTTTCCATAAAAATGCTACAAATCCTTGAACTAAAAGCTTCAAATGCTGCTATTAAATTCCATGAATGTTTTAAAAAAATTGTTATAAGAACGTATTTACTCACAAGGAACCAATTCCAGATTACCATAATCTTCGCTAAACTAGAGCTACAGACAACGATTATACGCATGAGTCACATAAAGAAGACACCAGTAAGAAGCAGATGTTCCATCTTCCAAATCAGATGTCTTTAAGTGGCTCACGCTTCAATTCTTCCTATCCTTGTCCTAAACAAACTCAATCACCTTCAGATTTGAGAAGCTAAACAAAATACATTAGAATACAGAAGAAAGCCAACCCACAGGAGCAATATGGCAGATCTGGGCACAAGGACCACAAGGCAAATTCTCTAATGCTCTGTACTGAGTATCTGAAAATGATATCATGCAGTGTATCAACTGCCTCCTGGTTTCATCACTTTTAAGTAAAATTTTTCCCCTTGTCACATTTGCACAAGACTATCAAAAGTACTTATTTCTTTCATGGTTTTTGTTACATATTCCTTTTAGTTGCAGAAACCAAAAAAACCCCTGGCTATCACAGGGACAGAGGGAACCACGACCCAAAACACTATTAAATTTCTAGGACTACAAAGTACTATAAGATTCTAATCTTCTGGACACCAAGGGAAATATGTAACGTGTTAGCCACCACAGGACATGTTCTTTAGACCTCCCCTTGAGTCATGCTGAACAAAATTCAAGGAGAAATGTATTATAGAGCTTATTTTTGCTGATTGAATAAATTAGGTTATATCAATATTAATTAAAAAAAAAAGGCAGTTTCATCAGGTAATGATTAATTTAAAGCCTTGTTAACAACTCCTTAAGATAAGTCCTATGTGCTTTTTAATTTAAATTGTTGTTTGCATAGGGCCATACTATCACATTTCACTGTTACCCTAAAGGTCAGCAATCCATTAGAAGTTCCTGAGGCAAGAAAACCAACAAAACTATTTGTCCAGTCCAAACGTTTAGACTTAAACTGAATCTCTGTTACACACTCATCAACAGTGGGTAATAATAATAATGGATGACTGCACCAATAAAACAATTTTGAGTAACCAGCTGCACTGAAAAAATGTATACTTTTATTCTTTGAACAAAGTTGCATAATTTTCTTACACTAAGCTACATTTATTCCAAGTCATATATTCTCTTACTAACCAATTACTTTTTTAAAGGTAACACTGAGAATTCCCTTCTGCCAATATTGTATTCTTCAATGCAGTACTTTAGAACTCAATTCGTTTGTGGCCCACAAACCTTTTTAAACACCTCCAAGTAATAAGCAGTTAGAAAATATTTATTGAGTGTGCACTCGATGCTCTCTCAATTGATAGCACTTTGTACAGCATATTACTGCAATTGTATAGCAACAGAAAGTGCTTTCCATGGAGTATTAAGACTGCAGTCTCATTATGCTTCAGATTTTGTTTTTGCTTAGTCTGCTCTATAGAATTTTTCCTAATATATGCATTAACCTGAAACTAAAGTTTATGCCTAAAGAATATACATTTCATGCTCCAAGTACATAAACGCCCAGCACAATAAAGATCACTGACTGACAACAGCCTCACACTGGCAGAATTTTTAATCTAGTATTTATTCTATCAACACACTGTTTCATATCACACAAATACAGCTTAGTTCCAGCTCAAAGAGAGCTCAACATACGAAAGATTCTAATTAGACACAGAAGTTTTTTAATTAAAAAAAAAAAAATCATGTATTTTCCTCCAACCTGTTCTTGCAGTAAAAACTCAGCGTACTGAATTGTGAGTGCAGCCAGACTTGGCAGCATTCTAAAAATATGAAACCAAAGTGAAAAAGATAAGTTCCTGCTATGGTTTTAACTCTGTGTATGAATGTGCGATTTAAAAGAATTGAAATTGAATCTATCAAGAAACTAATACGGGTGATCAGACAGATTTTGGGTTTCAAGTGATTTAATGGATCGATAAAACAAGCGTAGCTTGTTACGTTTGTCTAAATGCTCGGCCAGCCAAAAGTATTTGGGGGGAATACAGTGTTCTTTTCCAATATGAATATTCATTTGTTCTAGCTGTCCATTTGAAGATTTTTACAACATCATAAATTCCACTCTATCCCTTGAAAACAATGAAAAATGAGTCTACTTAAAGTGGAAAATAGAAGCATGTACAGCATTAGGCACGTACATGTGCTCACACTAGTCACAACATTTAAAAATTTAAGTTCACATAACGTTAACTGTTTAAAAAAAAAAAAACAAACTAGCATTGTTGACTGTAAATCTGAAATGTTTTTACATTTTTCTCCGTGTCCCTTATAGACACGGGATATAATCACAAGATACTACTGGGAACTACAGGTTCCATGGCGCTGTTATTTATGCCCTTACCTTCCAAGGGTCACTCATTTTTGATAGAGACTTCCCTTTCACAACTATCTAACTGATGAGGACAGAAAACCCCCCTCGACAAGGCAGCAGCACCAACTGGGACCTATTTTGACAGCAGCGCGTCACGCCGGTCACAGCCATGCGGTCGGCACGCAGCACACATAAAACTTCCGAAAGGCACGCATTCCTTCTGCCTCGCTCCCAGGGAAGAGGCGAGCTCCCTGTTTACGTTCCGATAACCTGCCCGAGCCGTGACAGCTCTGGCGAAAGGGCGGAGATCGCCTTGCCGGGCCGGGATGCGCCGGGGCGAGGGTGCGGGTGCCGGGGAGCGATGGTGCAGAGCCGCGCCAGCCCCGCGGGGGCACCGGGGCTCCAGCGCGCCAGAAAGGGAAAGTGGGACAAGGCCGGACGCCAGGGCAGCCTCGCGAAGCCTGGAACCCCGCAAGGCTTCCACCGCCCGCTCCGAGGCCTCTCCCGCCCGCCGCTGCCAGAGGGAGCCCGCACAGCCTGCGACCGGGGAGCGACACGACCGCCGCCGGGCGCCGCTGCCGCGGGGCCGGGCCTGCGAGCGGAGCGGTGACACGGCGGCGGGGGGCGGGGGCAGGGGCAGCACAGGGGAGCGGGCAGCCGGTCCCACCCGGCACGTCGGATCCCCGCGGGATCCCAAGATGGCGGCGGGCGATCCCGCTCGCCGGCTCGGCGGCGCCCCCCATCCCCCGGCGGGCGGGCAGCGCCCGGCACCGCGGCCCTCCCGCCCGCCCGCCCGCCCGCGGCAGCCGCCGGGGAACCAGGCGCCCGGAGGCGGCCCGGCGCCCGGGCGGAGCGGGACACCCCGCCGCCGCCGCTCCCCGCACCTCCGCCGCGCTGCGCTCCCCCCTCCTCACCTTTGAATTTGAGGTCGGTGGGCGGATCGAGCACCAGGATCTGCTCGTGCTTCGCCAGAGCCCCGGCGGCCGCCATCTCGATCGCTCGCTCCGGCGGGAGGAGGGGCGGGGGGGAGGGCGGAGGAGGAGGAGGAGGCGGTGGAGGAGGAGGGGCGGAGGGGGGCCGGCGGGGCCGCCGCTCCCTCACGACGGGCGGGCGGTGTCTCGGCGCGGCTCTGCGGGCTCTACCGGCGGGGCGCGGGCCGAGAGCGGGCGCTGCCGCCGCTTCTGCTGCGCGCCCCCGAGCGCGGCCCCGCGCCCTCCCCGCCCCGGCAGCGCCGCCCCCTGCGCGGGCACGAGGACGGCGGCGCGGGCCCCCCCCTCCCCTTCTGCGCGCATGCGCGGGCGCGCAAGAGGGTTGCACCCCACACGCAGAGAGACGTTCACATTTGCAGCCCTTGTGTGCTCGCTACAGCGAGTCATTCACGGAATCGCAGTCACGGAATCAGTCGGGCTGCAAAAGAGCTCCGAGATTATCGAGTCCAACCTGTGACCGAACACCACTGCGTTAACTGAGTGCCACGTCCAGTCTTTTCTCAAACACCTCCAGAGATGGTAACTCCACCACCCCCCTGGGCAGCCCATTCCAGTGTCAAATCACCCTTTCTGTGAAAAAATTCCTCCAAATGTCCAGCCTAAACCTGCCCTGGTGCAGGTTGAGGCCGTGTCTTCTGACCGTGTCCCTGTTTGCTTGGGAGAAGAGACTGACTCGCCACCTCGCGACAACCTCCTTCCAAGGAATTGTAGACAGTGATAAGGTCCCTCCTGATCCTCCTCCAGGCTAAACACCCCCAGCTCCCTCAGCTGCTCCTCATAGGACTTGTGCTCCTTCACCAGCTTCGTGTCCCTTCTCTAGACGCGCTCCAGCACCTCAGTGTCCTTCCTGAATTGAGGGCCCAGACCTGGACACAGGATTTGAGGTGTGGCCTCACCAGTGCCAAGGGGACAATCACTGCCCTGGTGCTGCTGGCCACACTATTTTTAATTCAAGCCAGGACGCCGTCAACCCTCTTGGCCACCTGCTGGCTCCTGTTCAGCCGGCTGTCGACCAGCTCCCCCAGGTCCTTTTCTGATAAGCACCTTTTCAGCCACTCTGCCCCCAGCCCGTAACGCCGGATGGGGTTGGTGTGACAGAAGTGTAGGACCCGTCATTTGGTCTCGTTGAACCTCACACCACCGGGGGGTCATGGATCCAGCCTGTCTCCCACCGCGGCCCGGATCGCTGGCTGGAGCGGAGAGGGGAGAAGCGGGACCCCCTCTCCCCGCCTTCCCAAGCGCGCACACACAGTCCAGGCGGGAGCGGGAAGGGCGCCCCTGGCTGCGCGCTCTGGGCGGCCGCGGCGCGCTGCGGGAACTACAGCTCCCAACGTGCCGCGCGGCGGGCGCGGGGCTTGCCGGGAGTTGTGGTCCGTCGGGGAGCCCCGGCCAGCGCCCTCCCCTCGGGCCTCGGGGGGCTGTGGCTGGGCCGTCTCTGCCCTCGAAGCTGTAGGAGAGAGGATGAACCTGGGTAGTGGGTCCCACGGCGGAGGGGGGGGGGGAACAAAAAACAAAAAAAAAAAAGCAAAACAAAAAATTGTCATTATGTGAAGGCTTAGGAATATTAACAGTGAGTAAATGGGCCTGTTTAGTTAAGAGAAGACTGAGAGGGGATCTCATCAGAGCTTATAAATATTTCAAAGGCAGGTGCCAAGAGGATGGTGCCCAGTGACAGGACGAGAAGCAATAAACAGGCCATAAACTAAAACACAAGAAGTTTCACCTCAGCATGAGGAAGAACTTATTTACATTGAAGGTGGCACAGCATTGGAACAGGCTGCCCAGGGGAGTTGTGGAGTCTCCGTCTCTAGAGACATTCAAAACCCACCTGGATATATTCCTGTGTAATTTGCTCTAGGTGACGCTGCCTTGACAGGGGGGGTTGGACTAAATGGTCTCCAGAAGTCCCTTCCAATCTTCTGTGAAATGCTGAGAGAGACTGAGCTCTTGCAAAACCTGAATGAGAAACAAGAGTTTAAACATTATTTATTAATAAGCAGGAACATGGGGTGTTTGCCGTCCTCCTCACTTGCACTTTTTGTCAGGCACAGTGTTGTCACAGTGGGCCTTTTCATTAGTACCATACTTTCAAGCAGATGGTGCATTTGAGGTATTTGAATATACCAGTAACAAACAAACAAACAAGAAAAATACAGTTAGACAGCCAAATCCATTCAAACCTTGATTATTCCTGGGTCCTAAATCTACTTCTGAAGAATCTGGCTGTAAGAGATCAGGCGAGATTGGAGTATAGGTGATGGAAATTGTCAGAAGGATTATGCATTTTTTTTCTCTCTTGCAAAATTTGGTCTAGGTGTGCAGAGAACATGTATAGGGACACAATAACCCATTTGAAAAATATGTCCTGATTATTAATAAAATGAAATTATTGTAATTGAAATTATTGAAATTATTATAAATGCTTTATGTTCAAAATCGGCTCATCATAGTAAGACTTGTGAATCACATAATTTCTTTGGTGGATTCCTCTAGTTCAGCTCCACCCATGAAGGAAGGGCTTTGGGGCCATTCAGCTGGAGAGACCCTCTGAGTAATTTAGGTTCAGGCTATGCCACGTCTCCAATAGAGCCTCCATCCAGGCCTGCCACCATCTCACATGCCTAGTCAGGACTTTTCTCTGTGCTGTTCTTGACAACAGCAAAGTGTCACCCATGTGACTTTTAATACCATCACTGACTGAAGAAGACATAAGTAAAAAGTGCTCTAGAAAGGTACCTCAGAGCAATCTTACCTGGTTGGAATTGGCTTCAATAGGTGGAGTTATGTGGCATATATGTGAAATTGTCACTAGAACTCTGTAACTACTCTGGCTGCAGTTTTCCTGCTACAAACTTATTTTATGATGCGCATAAAACAGAATCTTAAATTACATCTTTTATTTACAGTGCAATATTTAAAGTTGTTATCTGGTGGTCTGCTGGGCTTTGTTAGCAAAACCAATGTTCCACTCTGTTTATGTATTCTTACCCTTGGGATCTGGGAAATAAACTGGAAGATAGAGGTTTTTCTTCTTCTGTTAACATGGAAGAAGAATGTTAACTCTGTTATCTCCATGCTTTGTCTGTTTCTATTCATGAATCCACCAAAGATTAAACCATAGTATGCACTTCTCAGAAAGTGGTTATTTAGCTCCAGAATTACCTGGTGATTATGTACCAGAAGAACTGGGTCTCAGGTTGAAAAAAACAAGACATGGAAAACTTCTGCAAAATACTACATGCCTCAGAAGTTTATGGTTTTTCTCCTTTTAATGGGGTCAAAAAGTAATGGTGCAGAGTAAAATTCAAAAGAAGCTTCCTCTATGCAGATTTAGAAGACAGGATGTCTCTGCTGTCTGATTCTTCTATATATCTCATGTCTCAGAAAAACAGAGGAGAACCAGAAGTTCAGATCTCTCCTTAATATGACATGTACAGGTCTTACAGGTTTTCCCATGCATAGGTTTCAGTGCAAACACCTTTTTGGACATGGTTGTGCAATAGATATAACTGACATCGGGGGGAAACTGGCTTAATACTTATCACCAGCATACGGAGAGGCACTGAATGAAGGACAGGGCACAGCCTCAAGCTGTGGCTCACAGAGGAATGTCACAGCATTGCTGAAGCTGGAGGAGACCCCACTAGGGTCGTAGTTCAACTTCCAACTGAAAGCAAGGTCAAAGCTGAATTCAGCCCAGGTCTCTCAGAGCTTTGTCCTGTGAAGTCATTAAAACCTCCAAGGACAGAGATTTCTCAGCCTCCTTGGGCAGCCCAGCTCAGTGTTTCCCTGTTCCACTGCAACCTGCTCCTTTTGTGTTCTAGTATTGGCAGAGTTAGTACATAAACACTGAGTGGGTGGCTTATGCATGAATATTTTTTTTAAGTAGTCTTTTTTGTTGTTTGAACACATTTTGAACCTTAATAATGCATTGATCTGTTTTATTGCATTTAGTATCATTTCTGGTCTAATGGTGTTATTCCATCCAGGCTGGTGTGATTTTTTATATTAAACAACACCTGTGCTGTTGATCAGCAATATCTGGCAACCTTCTCCAACATCTGATTCATTTCGTTTCAACATCTCATAGTACAGTTCAGGAATGAAATCTTGGATCTGTTGCAGTCAGTAGGACTCCTGTGACTGATTTTGGTGAGATGATGATGTCATTTCAGAAGTGTCTTCAGTGCATTTATCACTGCTTGCAAAAGGATAACATCTGCTTAATCTGAGGTCAACATTTGTCCTGTATATTTGTAGATCTTAATGTTTTTCACACTGTGAACTCAATATTGTTGTTACAGTATCTCAGTTTGGAGATGGTTTGACATCTTTCAAAACCGTTTGCTAATAAATATTAAATAGGCACTCTCTATACCTGAGAAGTAGCAGAACAGATTCAGTTTCTTAACAGCTTTTTCCACTGTTTGTTGTACAGGTAGTTTATCCAGTCCCAGCAACTCTTGAAAATGTCTTGCAATAAAACACAATCACAACCTTCTTTGCAATTTCTTGGTGTTATTGAGACTGTCAGAAAAAGCAACCAAGTGCCACATTGCTTGTTTTGTTAATGGGAAAACTGTAGGTTTCCCTTAGTGAAGTATCTCATGCATCCTGCCCTGCAAAGTCAGTAAATATTGCAAAATGCAAAGGTATAAAGGTAAGAGTATGTTCCAATTTCTCTTTAAGGAAATACCTGGCCTTTTGGTGCTGCTGTTTATCTTCTGAAATACCAAAATGTTCGTACAGCAGGCTCTAGTCATCATTTACTTCACTGCTAGTGAGTTCCATATATAATTTTAGGCCCACTTTTTATACTGTAAATGAGAGGTGAAATTGCAGTCCACAATATTATTGATGATTTATGGCACAATTCAAACGTTGCCACAGATTGGAAAAGTAGATCTTAGTTGAATATCTTCAATACAATGTATTTCTTTACCTAGTTAAATATAAAATCACACAAAGCATGTTGAATATTCATATAGAAAGAAGACAACAACACATAGTGGCATTCTCATAAATAGTATAATGTAAAATTTTATGTGCTTTTCATATTTTGGACC